GCGGCCCCGTCCCCGCTGGGCACCCGCAGCGCCCGCGAGCGGGGCGAGGGCAGCTGACCAGGCACCCTGTGGTTAAAGGATCGGCCTCCGAGGCTCTCGTCCGGGCCAGAAACATGTCCAGTACACTCGGGAGCCTTGAGACGGGGGTCAATGCAAACGGGGTCAGCCAGAGCGCCAGATCTTGCAGGATCCTGCGAAGACCCCCTCTGGCTGACCCGGGTCAGCGAGCCGCTCGTGGCCGCGAGGCGGCCGCGCATATTGGCTGACCCGGGTTTGCGAAGATCTCCGTTGCAGTTTTATTGTCTTGCATTGCAGTTTTTGGTTTCCTTCTGACCCGGGTCTGGATTGACCCGGGTCAGAAGATCCCCGATACATTATGTGGAGTGGTCCAAAATAAAAAAAGAAGTGTTTTGAAGATAGAAAAAAGGTGGCGGAAGGGCGGCGGAAGTAAAACGAGGCCGCCTCCGCCGGCGGCAGCTGGCGGAAGCTCGGTTGAAGGCGGCGGAACGAAAACATGCGCCCCCCGACACATGAAAACAATGTTTGTGGTTCGACGTTTTCGGGTGCGGCCCTTTGATGTTGGTCCACCACCTAGTGGCAAGTGGCGGCCCAAGCACAGGAGAAATGGCTGGAAGCTTGTGCACAACACGTTGTCCTGAAGCGTTATCGCGAAGCCCATGTTGCAAGGCCCAGACACCTCAGTGAATCTACTCGCGGTCCCCATCTCGGGCGTTTTTTTATACGTGAGGTTCCGGGGGCCTTTCGGCGGCCTCCTGGGCCTCCTGGAGACCCCGCCAGGGACCGGCCAAGAGTCCAAGCCCATCGCATCGCGGCCCAGACCTCGGGGGACCTCGGCTGTCTTCAGCCGGGCCACAACGGCCGCGCCCGCTGGGACGGTGTGGGTCCACAGTGGGGGCCCAGTGGTGCTGGTCGCTTTCCGCGGCCATCTTTGGCCCCACGGTGTCGGGTGGCATTTGTAGACGCGCGCGTGCCAGGATGGCCCCAGGCTAGGCACAGTGGGTGTGTGCATATCGGGCGGGGCTGGGGCGAGGATGAAATCATGCCCAAGCTTTCCGTAACGCTTTCAGAGCACTTCGGAACGCTCCGAGAATGCCGCGGCGCCCGAGACATCCTCTTGAGCCGCCAGATCCCTACCTTCATCCGAGTGTATTCTCGTCCTGGCGTCGTCCGTGCCCGTCGCAGGTGCGCACTGGCCGAGGTAATGGTGAGGTGCGTTGCCATGGTCACCTCGGATCGTTGCCTTCTTTTCTGGATTATTTTGCTGGCCGATCGTTGTTGCAACTTGGGCGCCCAAGGCTGGTCCCGACTGAACGCTCGGCAGTGGACAATTCATCCCGATTGCGATTTTCAATAGAAGTCTTGCTGCCTCCTGATGCTGCCATCGCGGGCTCAGCGATAGTTCGAGGGCGCAGGATCCGCATGGGGAGGAAGGAGGCGGCAATATTCGAAGAGCGTGATGCTGCTGCCGGCTCCTCCTAGCATGCCCTGCAAGCGAGCGCCCCAAGATCAGCGGCAAGCCGGGGGGGGAAGTGAGAGGAGGCATGCCTTCGCAGAAGGTGGCGGGGCTTCTCAGCCGCCCTCACGCCTTCTGAGACGTGTTCTGTTTCTTTGGAGAAGGCTCTGGAAGCTCCTCAGAGCACCCGAGGCTCTCCGAGCCTTCTGAGAAGGCCTTCCCCCCTCTCACTTCCCCCAGGCTCGCCGCCGACACGATGATCCCTCAGCGCCTCCTCCTCCTCAGCGCATCCTCCTCCTCCGTCGCCTTGTTCCGCCCAACGCGTCCTCCTCCTCGAGATCATCGGCGCCTCCCTGGACCTCTCCCGCGGGCGCGATCCGCCCAGGGTTTCAGCGTGGAAGCGTGGATCTGGCCGCGGGGCGACGGGGGGACCCCACAGGCGCAGAGGGGCAAGCGGATGTGGAGGGCGAGCTGGCGGCGGAGGAGGAGGAGGATAGGGGAACGAATAATGGCATAAACATAACAACTCGGAGGTCCGCGCGGATTTCTCGGATCCGCGCTGGACCCCCCTGGCAGCGCCTCCGGCGCCGCCCCTGGCGCGCTCCGCGCGCTGGCGAGGGGGGTCCAGCGCGGATCCGAGAAATCCGCGCGGACCTCCGAGTTTTTATGTTTATGTCATGCTCCGTTCCCCTAGAGGACTGCCCCAAAGCAACCAGCAAGCGTGAACACACAGAACTTGGACACGGGCCAGCCAGGGGAATGCATCGAGGCTGATATTCAAGGTCGAAGCCTCGTCTGCCACATGATCCAGCACCAATCCGACGCCGTCCTCAACCCTGAAGGAGTCATGAGAGTCATCACGGCCCTCGAGCCCCACGACCCGTAATCCCCAGTTGCGGGGAGCGACCTGACACCCCGCAGCAGTCGCCAGAGCGACCACGACATCGGGGTGGCCCAGCGAGCTCAGGACCTCGACCCATCGATCGCCGACGGACCCTTGGCGGGGGCCGAGCACGCCGTCACCACCACCAGCAGCGACCACAGTGCCAAGGCTGCACCGAAGGTCGGGGGCCGCTGCAGGGCGCCGCCGCTGATCGCCGCCGCTGATCGTCGCACTGGCCACGGCACCGCTTCCTCAGAATGCCGCCGCACCAAAGCTGACATCAGCCAGGCCAGACGCGGGCGGGATCATCAATGACAGAGACCCAGGACAGGACGGCAGCCGTCCCAACGCCAGCTCTTTCCCGTTTGAGGTGGTGCCCCCTCAGACCGCCACCAAAGACGACACCGCCCAACCGCGACGGGACCACCGCAACTAGCAGCACCACCGTACCCTCTGCACAGGTGCCCTACAAACCAGCGCCTGCCAAGGCCGCCACCAAGACATCAGCCATGCTGAAGATGGCCACTGGCGACGAGGAGGCCGCGGCGCCAACAGGCGCCACACGTCGGTATGAGATCAGGCTACTCTGCAATGGTCATCCAGCAAGACGGTATCGCGCGCTGGACCGGCAACATCAGCAGCATCCACTACGAGAGGACAACGCCGCAGTTCAAGATACACGCCCACAAGATGACCTCTTAATCCATCGCGGGCATCAGCGACCCCAAGTCATGATACGGCTGGGTCACCGACCCCCCGCCGCGCCCAGAGAGCCGAGCACGACCAGGTGATGACCTACGTAACCGCTTCCACGAGTCACTTCATGGGCAACCAAGCAACCACACCAGTTTTTCATCTTCGAGATGGCTCAGCAGCAGATCGCATTGGCAAGGTCCATCAACCATCAGCTCGCCACGATGGTTCCTAATTTCCAGGTCGACACGTCCTCACGGACAACAAGCTGGGACTGCGACGCAGCCCCAAGTCCACGCCAGCACCTTCCGCGATGTTTCTACCTCCCAGAAGGGGTTCACCAACGGTGCCGTCGCGAAGATCAGCGAACTGCTCGGTGCTCAGGTAGCCGAGCCACAGGGAATCGTCGAGCAGCATTATGATATTCCAACCTACTTTAGCCTGAACCACCAGAAAGAATGTCAAGCACCAAGAAAGCACCGAAACTGGAGGGTTTTCACGTGTCGGGCTCTGGGAGGCGATACTCGTTCGACACTGTTGCGATACTTTTCTGGGTGCTCGAACATGTTTTTGGGTTTTGGTCCTTAAGTACGACGGGGGCAACATAAGATTAGCAGCCAGTCCACGGCCGGGACGACAAAGACAAACCCCTTGACGAGCGAGATACTTGAGGCGAGATCCAGACGCCAAACAAACCAGCACCCCACGCCGCGGCCGATCGCACGACAGGCCACACTTCGCATGGTGGGCCCAACACTGCCAGGACCCTGCACGAAAGGGCGCGGCAGTTTGCCCATCACCGACGCCTTTCTTTGCAATGGTTTGCTACACTTAAGTCGGGCCTGTCTCCCTACGGGAGGAATATTCATACATAGTTACAAATAGTCTGTGGACGATTTTGTTGCTGGGGGGGCATTAGTGGTGAATCTTCCTGCTTTTCCGTCCAAAATCCGCCTGCAGGGGGACATGCCCGACCTAGTGCTACACTCCGCCGACATGCGAGAGCCTGGCCAGCAGATCCGACGCCTGATCGTGGAGAAGCACAGCTGGGCGGCAGCCGTTGCGGAGCCCACCCGGCTGACAGCAGCCCCATCGCGCATGATGCTCACGAGCGGGGACATGCAGATTCCAGAAGACGCCGTCTACGACCCGAGGTACCCAGCACTGCAATTTGACGCGCAAGCGCTACTCGATGCGAAGAAATCCGAGTTCCACCTTGGCGAGGACAACACGGACTACACCATAAAGCAGAACATGGGCGGCCTTGTGCGCGCCCACGGACAGAATCCTGCGCCATCCCAACTGACGGCAAGCAAGGATACCACCAGCGAAGATGTGCCGTGCCACCATGGTAACCCTTCTCCGAAGTCTACCAGCCCGCCAAGTCAAACACTTGTGGTGAGTCAGGAGATCCCCCCTGACCGCCCACAACCACACGAGGCTCCAAGCCTCTAGACAGAACCTGTCTAACGGAGGCCCATCAGCGCGCCAGCTACAGTTACCAATGTTGTCCAAGTTTTGCTCCAGCACATCGACGGCAGGTTCTCCACCCTGGTGACCAGCTGCTCCCATCTACATCCTACTCTCTGCGCTATCCTTTCACCAATCAGCCACACTCACCGGACCGACAGCAGGTGTAACAGCTGCTTCCCACCGACCACTCCCTCCTCGGCGGCACCGACGTCGTGATGCCCACACGGCGGCTACGGCAACACCGGCTATTTTACGTCTGTATGCCGTTATTTTACCAGGAACTACCGACCCCTTCCCACTACTGAGGCGGGGGGATGCGGAGGGTAGCGGCGGCACTGGGGGGCGGAACTGGCAAAGGGACTCACCGCAAGCCGTCCTAGCAAGGGCTAGGGGCGGCCGCGGCACCAGGTACAGCTTGCCACCTGCCACCTTCATTCTTTCCGACAGCGCACTGCACTGGCAGGCTCTTCTTCCTCATCGGTTCCATGTACCTACCGCCCCTCTCTCTCTGCATACTGCTGCTTCTTTGCCACCGAGACCGCATTTTATTTGTCTGGGTTGGTGCTTGGCCTGGAGGGAACTGCGAAGAGCACTTGGGGAACCCTAGCGGCGTCCTCCGCGGCCTACTCGTGTGCAGCATTGCATGTGCCATCGCGGAGGTTATGGGTGCACCGACAAGACTCCATGGGACCGAGAGTCACACCCAGTCTCGAACGCAGCAGCATCACCGCAGCATTTTTGTGCCCCGCGGGGCGGCAACCCTTGCGTAGCCGCTTTTTCTGTCACCGCCTGTATTGCATTGCCGCTCATATTCTCCACCTGCGCCAGCCTGCAGGGGCGACCCTTAGACGCTGGCCTGCCTATCGCCAGATGACGGTGTGGGTGGTTTGGACACGATCTTGCCGGGAGGGCCCACAACCAGTGAGGCCACCGCCAGCCTGTGGAAGCCCCTGCCCAAGCCTGTGTAATCTTGCCCCTGCCCCTGCCCCTGCCTGGAAGCCCCTGCCCCTGCCTGTAATCACGCCCAAGCATTCAAGCCCCTGCCCCTGCCCCCGGCCAGTGAGGCCACCGCCAGGATTGTTTTCATCCCCCCAAGCCTGTGGAACCCCCTGCCCGGTCCCCAGCCCCTCCCTGGGAACCCTTCTCGCCGGGCGAGGGTCCGATTGGCTGGATTGGGGGACAGGGTTGGGGGCTTCCTGACGGCAGGGGGGAGGCCTTTGTGCCATTCCCCATGTTCAGGAGGGACAAAACACAGACACAATAATATGAATCGTCGGCTCCCAGGAAAACATGGGAAGACATGGGAAGAAGGGGGAACACGAAAACCCTGAAAATATGGGCAACTATGGGGAACCCTGTTATTTGTGTCTATTTATTTGTGTATCCCTGGCCCCCTTCACATGTGGGCGACCGTGCCCGCGGCCTTCCTCATCCCACCGAAACCGCCGCTCCCCGCCGCCGCGCAGCCGCCTTCACGTTCGCCGCCACCGTTGCCGCGCAGTTTCCCCCCCCTCCTTCGCCGCCAGGCGTATTCCCTTCCCTTTCCTCCTTCCTGCCACTTGCCGCCTTGTTTGATGTCGCGCGCCTGCTGCAGGTACCGGCCAGAGTGATCTCAGCCAGCGATGGCCTTCGCCGTGCTCCTTGTTTGATCGCCCCCCCGACGGCTGGCCGACGTCGTGGGGGGGCGGCCACGTCGGATGACTGTTCGGCCATCCGTGGGTCAGGGGTCCGGAGGAGGACTGCTTCGTGCTGGGCCCCCGTAGCCGCCTGCCTGCTGTCGTCCGTGTGCGAAATCGCGTTCGAGGTGCTCGTCTTGCCCGCCCGCTGGGAGATAGGCACCAGTGGCGGTACGGATCGTTCGCTTCTCTTCCAGCGTAAGGAAAACAAAGGTGGAGGAGTTGTGGAGATGAGGAGGAGGTTTCTGCGGCCTTTCCCGTTCCTCTGCCCTCCGCCGTCCCCCTGTCTAGCCCCCCACCCGCTAGGGGGGCGGTGTCTTCGATTCCGCGGGGCGCCGCGCGGGGGTCTTCAAACACCCTCGGGCCTGTGCGTCCGCCGCCTGAACTCAGCCAGCTTCCCTGTGGCGCTGTGTGTGGGAGGGCCGTCGTCGCACGCCTGGCCCTGGTGGCCTGGTGGCCTTCCGACCTCTGCAGGCAGGGGTCGGATGTGGAGGGGGGGGTGCACGGGACGGAGAAAGGCTGGAGGGCAGAGCAGGCGGAAAGGGGAACAGAGGATGCGGAGACATGCGGGAGAGGTATCCGGGGGAGGTGGATTAGGAGGAAGAGGTGGAGGAGGAGAGAACTAAGGTTGACATGAGTGTGGAAGCCAAGAGATACCGATACCGCTGCTCCCCGGACCTCTCCTGGGGTGCGTTCTGACCAGCATTTCGAGGCGAATCCGGCGGTGGCGACGAGGGCCTCCCAGGAGGCCCCCAAAAAGGGGAACGCGAGAGAAGGGTAGAGGTATGGGTACCTTTTGCTCCTCCGATCCTCCTCCGCGCCCCCCCCCTCCCATTGTCTCCGCTCCTGCCGTTGCTGGCCTCGCGGCCGCGCCGCCCCGCGGAGGCGGCGAGGCGGGCCCCGCAGACGCGGGCGCCGCCCCGCCGCGGCCGTGGCAGCGGGCCGTGCTGCTGCTGTTCCCGCTGCAGCTGGGGCTGGGGAGGCACGCCAGCGAGGCCCGTCGCGAGGGGGGCGGCGGGGGCTCCGAGCGTTGAGTCGGGCCTGTCCCCCTACAGGGGGATTTTCAACGAAAAATGAAAATACCCCAATAATAGTGCAAAAATAATACAAAATTAGCCTGTGTTTTTTTTGAATGTTTTTTTTTTTTTGTTTTACCTTTTTGGTGTATTTTTTGATATATTTCATCTTTCGTCGAAAATCCCCCTGTAGGGGGACAGGCACGACTTCATCCGAGCGGAGGAGGATGCCCATCGGGTGCTGAAAGTAGGTATCTTGGGAGCCCAAGATCCCAATCCACTCTAGGCGTAAGACAGTCGGGCCTGTCCCTCTACAAGGGGGGAATCTTCAAGAATAGTCAAAACATAGTTTTGGGACCATTGATTTTCTATTTACCTAACAGCGAAGACTGATAGGTTTCTAGTGGGATCAAAAGAGAGCAGCAGATCACTCCACAGGGGGGTCCGGGCAGGTGTTGGGGCGTTTCCGGGCGGCATGAGCCGGGCTCGTTTTTCACCAACAGTCACACACTTCGTGCTCTTCGCCTTCCCAGAACTCCATTCCCAGGCCACATTCTGGGGGGCCGGATGCAACTGTAGGCCACTTCGTGCTCTTCGACATCCCAGAACGCCATTCCCGGGCCACATTCTGGGGGGCCGGATGCAACTGTAGGCCACTTCGTGCTCTTCGACATCCCAGAACGCCATTCCCGGGCCACATTCTGGATGCCCGGAGCCAACTGTAGGCCACTTCGTGTTCTTCCATTTCCCAGAACTCCATTCCCGGGCCACATTTTGGATGCCCGGAGCCAACTGTAAGCCACTTCGTGCTCTTCGAGTTCCCAGAACTCCATTCCTGGGCTACATTTTGGATGCCCAGAGCCAACTCTAGTCCACTTCCTGGTCTTCGAGTTCCCAGAACTCCATTGCCGGGCAACATTTTGAATAGCCAGACGCTTCATATTCCTTCCGCCACAGCTGTGTTTGGTTCAGGACTTGCTAGTGACACTGCAGTCCTCTGCATTCAATTGGCCACTACATTCATTCACTGCAGTCCACTGAGTTTTGATTGCAATGGCGTTCCCCTGGCCGTACCCCCATGTCCAACGTTCATCCGCAGCCTCTGCTCCGCGAGGCTCGTCCGAAGTGTCGCCGCCTCGCGGTGCTTCTCAGCCTGCGCCGCCTCGCGGTGCTTCTCAGCCTGCGGAGGAAGGTGGACAGACGCCTGGTTCTGGCGCTGTGCAGCCTGCGTCTTTCACGGTCGCCTCGTTCAATTTCGGGTTCGAGCAGGGCATGATGACTGGTAAGCAGGCGGCCACTCACTGCGCTAACTTCGGAAGGTTGTGCGCCAAGATAGTGGAGACCGCTGATGCTGATATGGTCTGTGGCTGCGAGGTCGGTGCGTTCCGTGAAGGCTTTCGCCGAGCAGGGATCAACGTGACAGAGATCCTCAGTAAGCCTTTCGGTGATGGCATTCGCTTCTTGGAGGTCGACAACTACTTGACTCTCTGGGGGTTCCGCGGTGCTTCTCAGCCTGCGGAACTGACTCTGTGCGAAGACAGCAAAGTTTACAGGCCTCCTAGCGGCCGAGATATTGATGCTGTTATTTCACATTTTGAGGTGAACAAACCAGGCCATGACAAGTTCCACGTGGTGATCGCCAACATGCACATCGTGTGCGGCAAGAAACCGCCGAGCATCCAGACTCGAAAGCGGACAGTTCGCCATCTCCGCTTGCACCTGGACGGCCTGGCCAAGATTCTTGAGAATCTAAACGAGGCAGTCGTTGTGCTTGTAGTCGGCGACGACAACCTCACTTTCCAGGAGGCGCGGGAGGCTTACCAGCGCGAGCAGAACGACGAGAAGGTATGGGAGGTCCATGCCACTCCGGCCGACCTCAAAGGCGACCACGTCGCGGTCTGCGGAGCAGTCGCCCGTTTCTGCTCCATTGCCGTTGGCGCGTCTTTTACGGATCGTGGCATGCGCAACGACGCACACGATGCGGTGGCGGTTGTGCTCACTCTCCCTGGTGCTATTCAGCCTGGGGAGAGCAAGAGGCGGAAAATTGTCGTCGAAAACGTCTCCGACGCCGACGTCAGCGTACAGGCGGACCGCGAGTCTTCTGTGCATTGGGATCGGTCGCCGAGTTCTGCTCCTCCGCTTTCACCGACTTCACCGGGTGATCCCGACTACGTCGAGGATGTCGTTCAGAATCGCGCGGACGACTTGCACAGGGAGCTGAGGCAGCTTTGGGACGACAGGTACGACGAGGAGTACGATCCGAAAGTCCTCCATCATCTCAGTCTCTTGCTTTTCAAAAAGAGGAAGTCCACGGAGCCAGCGGACACTGATCCAGCTGGCGCTCCTCAGCCTGGCTCGGAATATGACACGGCCTTTGCGTCTCAGGAGGAGACTGGCCGAGCCATTCTCTCTGTCCTTAAGCTTCGACATGACTTTCTGCGGAGCAAGAACATCGACGACATGCGCTACGTTCTCACGGAGCCTGAGCGCCAGGAATTGGTCAGAGTAGCTCGCGACCAGTACGAGCAGTCGCGGCAGCAGCGTGCGCTTCAGGAACGGGATATCGAAAAGGGAAAAGCGAAAGGCAAGTCTGCGCCACAAGGGGGCCATGCGGTTCCGCAGGGTCCGAACAAAGGGCCAGGCGGTAAGAAAGGTTCTCACGGTGCTTCTCAGCCTGCGGGAAAAGGTGGCCAGGCCAAGGGTGCAGGTCTGGGTAGCGTCGCCAAGTTTGTGAAAGACCAGAAGCGTAAGCGGTGGCATCGCCATTTGCAACGTGTGGCCGGTACCAAACAGATCTGGGAGGTGCTGGCCTTCTCAGGGCGCTTCGACGTTGATTGGTTAACGCAAGCGTTGCAAGCTGATCACAGTGAGGGCCGTGATGCAGCAGTTCCCGAGGAAGCTCTGCGGCAACAGCGGCGCCGGCTGCACCACCAGAAGGCCGAGGCCATCGCGCGCTACAACGAGGGGGAGCGGCTTTCCCTCCATCTGTCTGCCCAGGCTGGCCAGGCAAAGCCGAACTTCACGCGCAGGCAGCTGGACGTGTTGCAGATGTTTGAGAGCGGAGCGCTGCTTCAAATCCGCAACCAAGCGATTCTGGCGTGCGGGCACGGCCGTCTGTTCAGGGGCGATGGCGACTACCTGGACATCGGCGGCAGCACGGGCGGTGGCTCCAGGCGCATCATCGATTCTTGGCAGCCGCCGGACTGGCGTGACTTCCTCCAAGACGATCAGGACATCTGAGTTTTGCAAGTCTCTCTGCCCGCGGTGCTTCTCAGCCTGCGGTCTGCCGCTCTCCAGCTGCGGTCTCGAGCAGTAGTGTTCGAAAGCATGCGAGTTCCTGCGGTGCTTCTCAGCCTGCAGGTTTCGCAGCCTGCGCTCTGCAGTACAAGTGCTTTTCAGCATGCGACATCCTGCGGTGCTTCTCAGCCTGCAGGGTTCGCAACGTGCGGTTTGCAATGCATTCCTTTTCAGTATGCGAGTTCCTGCGGTGTTTCTCAGGCTGCAGGGCTCCGAGGCTCTTCGCTTCGATGCCAATGTTTTCAGACACCGTAGCTCCGTTCCGTAAACGTCTTCCAAGAGCCGCTCGCAACCTTTTGCAGCTGGCTGTCTGCACGCTTCGCCGGCTTTTGCTGCGCGGACAATTTTCTCACACACGTCAGCGCCGTTTGTAGGCGTCAGAAAAACATGTAGACATTCACGAAGGGCTCAGTCTGTATATCGTCACATCATTACATACGCAGTCGTCGAACACATCGGTGTACATTCAGCGCTTTGTCCTTCTACAGCATTCTTTCCGTTGATAACAGTGTTCTGATGGGTTCGCTTCGTTCTAAAAGCGTTGATAGCAGTGTCTCGTTTGCGGACAACTCATTCTATATCAACTCACTGATACCGAGTTTCCTTTCACCATAAGTGAATGCATACCAGTGTATGTTGGTTACTACAAAAGTGGGTTCCTACAACCGACTTCATGATCGCTATCATCATCGCAGATTTCACTCATCCTCATCACCACGACTGGTTCACGTTGGCCTGCGGTGCTTCTCAGCCTGCAGTTCCTTTCGTTACACTGTAGTTGAAGCCGTTCATGGCAGTGACTCGTTTAAAGACAACTTTAGTATTGGGGGAAGTGTCGATAGCAGCGTTTCTTTTTACTTATACAAGCGTTGATAGCAGTGTCTCGTTTGTGGACAACTCATTATATATCAACTCATTCATGCAGAGTTTCTTTTCGCAGCAAGTGAATGCACAGCAGTGTATCTGCACTACTGGCCCCCACTCCATTATCACTATCATCATCAACGATTTCCTACACGCGTGTGCGCGGCGGTCGCCATGAGTGAATAGTTTGCAGAGACTTCTCGCATTGATACCCATGGGTCACTTCAGAGTGAACTCATTTGTGATCTTCTTTCATTGGAAGTTGAATCGGTTGATGGCAGTGCCTCGTTTAAACTCCACTTTGGTATTGCTAGTAGTGTCAATGCCAGCGTTTCTTTTTAATTGTGCAAGCGTTGATAGCAGTGTCTCGTTTGTGGTTAGTTATAACAGCGTTGACAGCAGTGTCTCGTTTGCGGACACCTCATTGTACATCAACTCGCTGATACCGGGTTTCCTATCAACACCATCATCATCATCCTTAACCATGTTTGCTCGAGTTTCACCTGGCCGTCCAGCCGCGGCGGTGCTCCTCAGCCTGCCTTGTCACAATGCCAGCACGCGGCAAGGCATCGCCCCCGCCACCCCCGGCCCCGTGCGATGGCCCGTGGGAGATTCTGCCGGATCCGCCCGCACCGACTCCTCAGCCAGGTGTCGACGTGGTCTTTGAGCAGGCTCACCTCGAAGACATCCGCCGTACACCAGGGATGGGCGGCAAGACCGCCTGCCAGTGGCAGCGCGCGCTGCGCGCCGAGTGCATTGTCAACAACTTGTCGTTCAAAGACGTAACAAACGACCCGTCCTACGACTGGAAGCAACTG